TGGCGTGGATAACCATCACTCAGTAGCTTGCTGTGAAAACTTGACTTGCGTTTCCCCCGGTTTGTTTAGGTGTCGATTGTGTCTAATGAGGCGCTGGGTTTGGCACAAATTATTTGAAAGTCAAGCATTCTGACCAGCTTGATTATTTTCTGTTAGCCAGAAATTGTTTTCGCTAGCCAAGATTCCGATGACCCTATCTACACTATGGCGTATAGAGCAGATATTTCTGAGCTTCGGGTCTGTGAGTTCATTGGATCCGACGGCAAGCCACCGCATTCAGTCACAATTAAGTTCTTCAAATTTGAACACCGTTCGTACGTGATCGACACTAGGGGAACACACAACTTGAATGGACTGATAAATAAGCACTTTTACAGTGTCAGCCCACATTTGCACAAATATATTTCACTCTAATAGACATGTAATGGTTTCTCTCTGGTACATAGTCATTTTTTGGATGTTAAAGTTACAAAGTATCCGTTTTATGTTAATTGTTACCACTGTTTTCGCCCGATGTACGATGCATCACGCTATTGGTTAGTTGGAATTACATACTAAAGAAAGCAACACATGAAATAAAATAAATTTCGCTAGGACAAAGCACCGATATAGCTGTTTGATCCGCCAAGGTGTACATAGGATTATCGGATTCTTGGTTAGCGAAGCTGACCAGCAATATGCATACTACGTGTGTCGACGCAATAATTTACAGGAAGAAATTTTCATTTTGTTTGTCAGAAATTCTTCGCAAACAGGAAACAAGAATCATTTTGGACCACGTTGCCTATTTTTCTTTTAATTTGATCGACCATAGTTACAAAAGAGAAAATAGTTCATTCGCAACTTTTTGGTGAATCTTTTGTTGCGAGTTTATCTGGCTGACAGCTATCAAAATACACTTAAGATTGGAGCCGTAGGATTAACCTCGATGTTGCGAATAAAAGTGATATTGGGACAGCTAGGGCTCATGCACTACCCTTGAAATTGCCAAATATTGATTTAATAATTGGTGAGCCGTGTACAATGGCATTTATCAGGTTTGTCCTTCACTGGTTTATTGGCATGTGCTTGACGAGAAAAATACCAAATAAACAAACACACGTTATCTCGTCTGCACGTTTTGGTTGCTACATGCCCTGAGCCTTACACGACGCTTGATGTCTAGTTGCTGCTGTCCTTCCATATATATATATATATATATATATATATATATATATATATATATATATATATATATATATATATATATATAGTACGAATTTAATTTCTCTAACCTGTATGATAGTATTGTTTGTGTTAAACTATTATATCTGCCCACTATTGTCAAGATTCTACTACATTATCCGGGGATAGCACAGTCTGTTCTGTCTGGCTTATATTTATAATTCTTTGTAAAACTATAATCCTATATACCTTGATTTCTTTCATAGTAATCTGGAACGACAGTGTGTATATATGAGAATTAATTACTAGGTCGTCATGCGAGTGTGTCTGCTACGCACGAGCTTAGATAACAACGATTCAGTGCTATCATATTTTGGTGATGCGTTTTTAGTCGTGACGGCATTTGGGTTGGTGCGTGCAGGCAAGGCGATGGGTGCCAAATACTCGCGGACCTGGCTTCGAAACTCGATAGAGTACGAATTTAATTTCTCTAAACTGTATGATAGTATTGTTTGTATGATAGTATTGATTGATACTGTATGATAGTATTGATTGCAGAATATCCATCCAACAAAACGAGTTCATATTTTCCCATACAAATGCAGCAACCTTTTTATTATATGCTGATTTTCTTATTCTACTCAAGCCTTAATTATATAAACAAAAAGTAGTGTACATAAACAGAATAACTGAACGTATGCCATATTCCATACTAAATACACAAGCGTAAATGCACGTTAACTCCGCCCAGATAAATTTCAACTTGGTCGCGCTAGACATAAGTTTCGAAAGAAAATACCGTTTTTGGTACTTAAAATTGAAATTTGGAGTCATATTATATAAATGAATGCGCATTGCAATTACCTTTCCATTTCATCTGGATAGATTTTGGTATTTGTCTTCGTTTTTGTTTGTGATTTGACGAAATTTTGTGAATATGGATTGGATTTATCTACATGAAGTACATCATATTTCATTTCGGTTGAAACAGCGGGAAATAAACGTGTTGGCTTCTTTTAGTGTGTTTTCTTCTGTCATTTGATGTTTGAAGTCATAATATGGTGAAAATATGAAGTCTTTCATTAGTAATTATCGAAAAGACGCTATGGAATTTTATGCTTATTTTATTATGGAGGATGTAATTGCACTTGGAATATACTCAAAATTTCTGTACAATTTCGAAATGTATAATTGACCTTGAGAACCCATGACATAGCTTATGTAATTCGGAATTGCATAACTACATTTTGATGAAATTCAGGATGTAAAACTCTAAGTATATTTTCCCCATTATTATTGCTAACTAGTGAAGACAGTTTATGCCTTGTAACTTGCATGTTTTTTGGAAGGACCTGTCTGAGTCTATAGCTAGCCTAAGTCTGAAACAGTGATCAAAAAAGTTACGCGGAATATGCCAAGCTGCTGGAATATGACAGTCCATAAAACATCTGCTTAAGTACATTCAGAAACAAATTGTTTGTTTACAAAATAAAGTAGTTCCTTTATTCAGGTGAACGCAATACGAATTGAGAGCGCGAGAGAGCAATGTCGTGAAATATTGCACAATTTTGACAATGTAAAGTTAACGTATATGTGATTAAATTGTTTGTGTGTAAGGATTAAAAATCTTTAGTTTTTCATTTTTGTTTCATTTTATTTAATTGCAATGAATATTTTTCTCGGAGTCTGGATTCTTTTTCAGTAATGAGATATATTTTATAACAATGTTTATTCAAGGCGAAGATGTATTACGTTAGAATTATCCTTAACCCGTCTTAACCTGGCGACAATGTCAACAGGAAGTTAAAATGATTGGTCAGTATTAGGAGCATACTTTATTTCCGTGATCACTGTGTGTAAACAACCTATTTTTATGATTGGTTCTTTAGTCGGAATAAATTGGTGTACTTGCTCGACTTAGTGCATGACCAGTCTCGCTAGACTTGAAATGAGGCATTGGGGTTTTAACTACACAATCATATTATTTTTCAGGAGAGTCATTTTAACAACTTGAAGGAACAAGATGTATTATTTTTATTTGTTGCCAGGATTGTTTGTTCTTCGTCTGAATTTTGGATTTAATATTTTTTCCCTGGTAACTCAACAAAATGACTTTTCTATTTAAACAAATTCTGAAAGATATTCTTGGAAGTTTGTTATGGAATTATCTGGAAACAAAGTCTGTGAATCAAGTAAGGAATTTTCGATATTTACAAATTGGACTACATCTGACGTACGTTTTCGTCCTCCATATTTGTACGTTGTCGGGACTCGAACCTGAATTCTTATAAGACTATTTAGTGAAAGGACTTGTGTTTTCATTCTTTACTTGTCACGTAACTATATATATATATATATATATATATATATATATATATATATATATATATATATACTATCAAGTTTGCCTACCTTGTCGATTTTTTTGGGGGGACGGGGTTGTTTTAAGGCTCTTCTAACATCTGACATATGTTGACTATATAATGCCGAGTAAGTAAAATGGGAGATCAATGACTTTTCCAGTGACACATTTAGGCAACCCACCCGGCATTGCATGGGCGGGTGTCGAACCTGCAACCCTTGGATTACGAGTGCGACGCTATGCCAACTGAGCAACCGCGACTTCCCTATCATATTGGGTCAAAAAGTTACGTTTCTGTTGCATTGACAGTCATCTTTCATGTGATAACCTATTTCTAAAGTTAGCTTGCTGACTAGCCAGTAAGATCTTTTTCCGACTGTAAAGAAGACTCGTTCTCTGCTTCAACCCGTTTCAGTCAAAATTACACCAGACAGCTGAATGTATCGGTCCATGTTGCGATCGCTCAGAAGTAACATAGTCGTGTTTTCTCAATTGTCTTAAATACAAGCCTATACCGCTTGTTGCAATCATTGTGGACTTTTGAATTCAGGTTTTTATAAAACCCGTAGTGAAGATTTTTTTTTTTATAGATTTGTCACTTACCACGGTATGATAAAAGCTATGAAGAGATATTATCGCTGTAATTCTACGCATGTATTTTATTTCTATACGTGTGTTTGAATTATATACATGTATTTCCCTTTATTATATGCTGTATATTCTATCCTGCATTATTCTTTTAGCATTTTCTGTTAGTTCTTTGTCATATTATTTTTTTTGTATTATTTTGTTTTTGCATTATCTTTGTGTATGATGCAATTTGTAGAACAGGTATAACGCAATTGTAATCATGGAGGACTAAATTACAGATCCGACCTTCCGTTTATCGACTGCAGCAAATTATTAGTTAAATACAACATTAAAACTTTTTTTCCGAGTAATTTTAAATGATTCCGCATTCTGCAGGTAACAAATTGAGAAGAACCTTCTTCGGTTTTCAAAATCTCTCTCTCTCTCTCTCTCTCTCTCTCTCTCTCTCTCTCTCTCTCTCTCTCTCTCTCTCTCTCTCTCTCTCTCTCTCTCTCACACACACACACACACACACACACACACACACACACACACACTTTCTCCGCCAGATATGCTGGCAGCTATGTGTAGCCCAGCATGTGCTGATCATGGCGTTAAGCCCATACCAACAACAATAACATAAGTGATGTTTCGATTTGCATGGGAATGAAATCGTGGACATATATGAGAAAGATTTACCCTTACTGAAATAAATGGTCTCCATGACAATAGGAATTATAAAATGTTTTTTAACGCATTGTTTGTTCAGAAAAGAATGATTTTTACGATTATTAGCATCGCAAACCAGCCATTTAACCTCGTGTATTCATACATGCTCTAAATCATTCATTTAGAACGAAAAAATTCCTCGATTTCTCTTGAGACTGATTAGGTGAATAAAAACGCCCTGGTGGCCAAGTGGTTAGAGCGTCCGCCTCGGATGCGGGAGGTCCTGCTGGGTTCTATCCCCGGTTGAGTCATACCAAAGACTTAGAAAAATTGTACAAACAGCTTCCCCGCTTGGCGCTCAGCATTAAGAGGTTAGTGTTTGGAATATATATATATATATATATATATATATATATATATATATATATATATATATATATATATATATATATATATATATATTCAACGTTAACCAGTCGACACCCTTGCCTACCATGAATGATTTGGAAAGTTTGAATCATACACCATACCGTGTATGCCGAAGATTTGGTTCCAAAACTGTTAATTATGTTGACACTTTGTATCATAGTAGTGTGGAAGCATATTCGGAAGTTCCCAACAATTCCTCCTTATGTAGAACAAGACGGCATAACAGATGGGCGCACTTAATAAAACATGATTCACATATAATTTGATTTCTTAAATTTTGATCATAACATAAAAATAAATAATTTTGAATAACTAAAGATAAGCAAGACAGCGTGAGTATTTACCAAGGAACGCTAAATATTTAATAATCGGAATGAGTTATCTCCCTTTCTTTGAAAGGTACTTTAGTGAGTATGTCTCGCATACATTATTGCTTGACTGATTAAACACAGAGCCGTTTCAAGAAGTTTGGGGTCCTAGGCACAAGCACTAAACTGCTAACACAAACGACACCGAAATTTTGTTTTTGGGCCGCAGCCTTCTCCCCTTACCCTTTGCATCGGGCCCTAGGCACATGCCTCGCGTGCCTATGCCTTAAAGCGGCACTGATCAAACACACGCTACTCAAACAAGAGTTGTATCTCCAGTGACGGTCACAAATGAAAAAGAAACTGTCAGTACTAGTAAGTACATGCACGTAGATTCTATCCCTGAATTACTTCAAGCTATTATCGAGACTGCCGTGAGTGTTTTCAAAGTTTTACGGTGTCGGTTAAGTTTCAATTTTTTGTTTTCACTGCTACGTGTTTGGGATTCAAATGTCAAACAACAAACGATTTTGTTGATTTAACATGACGATAAGTGACACATTTCTTGCGATTTACTTGTGGAAATATGCCATTTAATTGACATTCTTGCAGTAATTATTGTTCTCGTTGCCGTTACTATGATAATTGATGTTGCAATGAGGACTGTATTGACTCAGTAATTGCATATAATTGTGTCGTCGATGCCCTATATTCCTTCATCTTGTTTTTATATTGATTCTAAATCTCGTCGTATAGAAACGTACCATTCAATATCGATAAGTTGTTAATACTTTATTCTGACAGCATGAATATAGCACAAAAGCTGCCACAAGAAAACAAAAAAAAAAAAAAAAACAAGTCTGGATAATAACCGTCCCCTACCTTCCCAAAATTTATTGTGAATCTGTATATTTGCATCATGAATTTAAGCGGCAGGTACATGTTTGTTTGGATATCGACTATCTCGCAAAGGTAATTCTTAGAAATACTCGGCTGAAATGTTTAGTGTAGTTACATTTTATTTGCCTTATGCCGATGGGACTGCAAACATGTGGAATTTTTAGTGTAGACACATTTTATTGGCCTTTTGACTATTGGATTCAACGAAGCTTTCGCAGCTTAAAGTGCTTTCAACCATTTCTTCCGAGCACAATTGAAAACTTCATGGCGGAACTAATATAAGTTTACCCTTTTGAATCTTTCCATTCTGCTCACAGCATGTATATTGACATAAAAATGAGAGCGAAGCAAATACAAAACAGTTTCCCAACGTCAGTGAAACAATTATATGTCTATAAAACAACAATAAACTGAAGAGAAGAGGAATTCTTGACTTCTACATTTCTGAATGACGAAAAATATGCCTACAACAGAATCTAAATGAAACGGGTAAATAACTTTTATATGTTTTATGTTTATGTGAGTCCAGCATAGTTGTACCATTGCGAGTCCAGCATAGTTGTACCATTGTGAACCCAGCATAGTTGTACCATTTAGTCCAGCATAGTTGTACCATTGTGAGTCCAGCACAGTTGTAGTATTGTGAGACAACATAGTTGTACCATTGTGAGACAGTATAGTTGTACCATTGTGAGCCCAGCATAGTTGTACCATTGTGAGCCCAGCATAGTTGTACCATTGTGAGACAGCATAGTTGTACCATTGTGAGACAGCATAGTTGTACCATTGTGAGTCCAGCATAGTTATAGATCAAAAAGGGTTAACAATGCCCACCACAGGAAGAACCAAATTTGATTTGAAACCAATTCAATGCTGGTCACGAAGTCCTGAGTGGTTGAGTGGTCCAAAGCGCTCTCCGATACTGATCACTGACAGCACACCTCTGCGTAGGTTCGAGTCTAAGATTCGGCGAATGTTATGCGAGAAAGCTTGCCAGTAGGTTCTCGTGGGTCGGTGGTACATTCCGTGGATTTCTCGATTTCTTCCTCCTCTAATAATATTGGCCACCATGTATCGTGTGCTAAAAACTGGCGTTAAGCCCCACAACAACAACAACAATGCTAGTAACAGAGGTCGGACACCATGCGTGGCGAAAAATCAACTCAATCTGCAAAATGTACAATAAAGATTATATTCCGGTAAGGCTATAAATGCTGTTTCTAAGGAAATATGTCAAGAAAATACTAAAAAATAATCATAATACAGATTTACAGAATGTGTACTTAAGTAAATGTTATCACAAATGTGTTCGTCGGCTAAACTGATGCAGGGATGTAGTTTTGACAAAACTGTAGTTGGAAGATTAAACGTGTTTTGTTTTAAATTTTGGATTAACTCCTCATAAGTTTTCATTTGTAGTATCCAGCATCATTCGTTACTTGTTAGACTCATTTGATAGCCAATCTTTAAGGTCGCGATTGAATGCCCAGTCGATAGCGAGTTTCGCGTTCATTTTGTTGCCACTGCGGTTCTTGTGGTTATTGATTCGTTTTCTTAAATCATCGGATTCCACACCATTTTGAGTGGCGCAGATCTTGAATATTAGAAGATATGTCACATTTTTGGGGGTCCACATCTTGGTTTCAGGGATATGTTTGTAGATTAGGCAGCGATTGACATTGCAGCAAGATGTGCCTGAATATGTGGTCTTCTTTTGGTTTTAGGTCGGAGAAGGCGTTGCCGACAAAAGCTGGTCCAACAGTGAAGTTGCATCTGAAATTTCATTGCCATATCTCAGGGAATTCCAGTTTCACGTTTGAAATTTTGATGTTGCCTATTGAGACATGCTAATCACGCGTTAAATTAAAATGCTTGCGTTGCTAACTTGTATTTCTTGAATTACATATTAGTATCTAAAATTTTATTTTATTTTTCTACAGCGTTTAGATTTTAACTTTCAAACTGCACAGCAATGATAGAAATTTCAATGTTGTATATGCAGATTTATAGTTACATAAAGTGACTGATCATTTTTGTTGAAAGTTCCAGTTCATAAGACAAGTCCTTTTTGATTTTCTCGATTTACACAGCGGTGGTTGAGAGTTCCATTTCATATATCCGAAAATTCCCATGAGTACGGAAGACTTTGTTTTATGTCTACTTCTGTATTTACTCTTACAGCTCTGATACTTTGTGTGAGATTCATTACATTACATTCAATTTTGTAATGATGTCATGGGAGGACTGTCTGACTCATGATCGGGCGAAATGATTGGAACCCCTTCTACTCTACCCAAAAATCTTGCCTAAACAAGGGCTTTTATTATGTTTATTGTTTTCGTAAAATTTCATCCCGGACATCATTATAATGAGAGGCAATATTCAGTTTAATGCGAAATTTTTGTTTGTCTTGTTTATGCCAGCTGCTCTCGTATTGTTAGTCTCTGAGCAATACAACTCCGTATGTAGGTGCATCTAGACGAGTACCACAAATATCAGCATCAGTAGGTCACAGATCTTATTATCATCGCTTTCTATATTTGAGCCCGTGTTAATGGGAAACGAGCATAGTAGTCACTTCAACAACGGCGGTATGTGTATTGTCAACAGTGTTACGAGTCTATGCTCTTGAAATAAGTAACAAAAATGAGAGAAGACAAAAAGCTTTGTAAAATTTAACAAATAATTTGTTACCCTAGAATACAAAGTGCAAAAAGAGAACAAAGAACGTACGGTTGTATGACGAAATCCGTAATTGAAGGCGATGATTTTTGTTATGGATCTTCGAAGTGTTGCGGTGTCAACAGTCTTTTGTTGAATCACATAAAATGTTATTCCAGTTATGAATTCAGTATAAATTCCAACGAATGTCTTTATGCAAGAATTTTGTCAGAAAACGTTTGTATTTCCAGGGAAAATAATCACTAGAATTAAACAATTTGAAGAAAATAAAATTCAACTCAAAATGGTCACAGCATAATACAACTTAATGTGTCAAGGGTTTTACGCCCAACTAACAAACCTTTGTTTTAAAATCAGCTATACGACTAATTAAGACGCAAACAGATTCTCTTATGAGGGTCAAAAGTTCATTCTTTTGAGAAAAAAAATAGACGTTTGTTACTAATTGATGTATGTTTAATATCACGCAATCCAGGTATGACCTTGACTCAGCTTAATGATTCTTACTCTGAGAAAGATAAATAAATTTTTAAAAAAAGTTGTTTACCAAAAACCGTCACTGATTTTGAAACAAGGTCAGCAGCTAGATACAATGTTTCTGTTATTAGTTGTTTACGTCAATGAGAATATGAACAAATCCATTAAGGAGGTGACTAAATTCCTTGATACATTCTCCTGATATATTTTGTGACATGCCTGTTCATCCCTTACGAACTTCAAGAAAAGGTCACAGCTGATTGCGGTTTGTTTTAATGTTTTCATTTGGTCATATTTCATGAACTCCTTGATGGATTTGTTCATACTTTATGACGAAGTTAAGACATTTCATTAGTGTGTGTGTGTGTGTGTGTGTGTGTGTGTGAGAGAGAGAGAGAGAGGAGAGAGAGAGTTTCACATTTATTTTATTTAAGATCAGCAAATAAAAGATGTTCGCACAATATCTTTATTCTCTCTCGTCCGTCAGGTTTCTAGCAGTTGGTCATAAGAGACCA